ATTATATAACACAGCTAAATAGATTCCGTTATCCACGTGAAGTCATATTCACAGAGAACAGTAAATATTTGAAAAGCTATGCTAGTAGAAATATGATTATATATGTATATTCACTAGTTCAACATTAATGTCGAATTATGTTTATATCCTCAGAGGGCATTAAATATTTGAAAAGTAATGTCGAAATATGATAATATTAACAGTATTGATCATCTTGAGATAAGATACAAAATGATAAATGCAAACTATAGAATTACAAACATAAGTTAAAATATGCTTTAGAGACGGCTCACTGCATACTACTGCGTATCATGCATCTACTTTAGATAATTGGGTGTGGTGTTGTGGTTTTGGTCCCATGTCAGATATATGACAAGGTCGTCTACCTAACGCCGTACGTTCTTGACGGCTTCTCCGATTACCTCCCACGCAAGTAATGAAGATTTACCGTATGTTAGTCCTGAAATAAAACAGTTTAAGTTGAGTGCACGTAAAAACCATTGACATTACCCCCCCCCCCTCTCTCTCTCTCTCTCTCTCTCTCTCTCCCTCTCTTGCATTCTTCTCCGATTACTTCCCATAGATAAAGATCGCTGCGCGCAAGTAATGGATATTTACCATATGTTAGTCCCGAAATAAAACAATTTAAGTTGAGTGCACGTAAAAAAACCATTGGCAGATGGAATTATATATGCCGCTATCCTGGAAAAATCCCTTTCATATATAGCACACGTTAATCTTAATTATCCCGGTTGGTGCAGACAAGTAGCACGTTACCCCCCCCCCCCCCCGCCCCTCTCGCATAAAATGCGTTAATTTAGTGACAGACGTAGGGACTACATATAGAAGATCCATGCGAGCTGTAAATAAATTCTAATAATGCCATTGTAATCTGGATAGAATTGAAGTAGTACATGCTTTAGATTGTTCCATAATGAATCTCTCTCCCTCTCTCGTGCCCTTTTAACAAGAGTATTATTCTTTACCCTTGACATAATTTAGGATATCTTTTTAGTAGTAGTACTGTAGTAGAGGCTATTTGTAAAATGTATTGTCACTTACAGCAGGGTCAACTGTCAACTATAGCGACATAGATAGTTACAATAAACATAGCGATATAGAAAGTTACAATAAAACGATAGACTATATCGATATCAGACCACAATAATTATGACTTAGCAAAAACAAAACCCGAGGTTTAGTAAGTGTAACAGAATCCTTGTTTGAGTGGAATTTATTAACCAACCTAAATCAAGCTTGTATAACAACCTACTAAACACGTGGTTTAATGATTGATTCAAAACGCATGTCCTCGTCAAGTCAACACTCACGGGGATTGGACTAGACCCACTGTGCATGGAGTCACTCAGTTAGTTACCTATATAAGGCGAAAATTGACAGATTGCGAAGAGTCGCAGTATACAGTGTACACTGTTTAGCTACAAAAAGGAGTAACTCGTAGATCGGCAAGGATAATCCGTTTTAACGTCAAACATATAACTAGTGTAATAATGGTGTGTAATTCGTTGACTTTAGTGACAGTTTTAGCTTCAGGTAAGCCGAATGTTATAAGATTCGAGAATTATTATCTTGTCCTACTGGAACTGATTAAACATTGCAGGCTTATTTTCAAAATATATCGCCAGTTAAAACGACTTTCATTGTATGAGGTCCCATTATGTTTTATGTTATCTAGTTTTTATTGAACGTAAAATGAATATTTCTAGTAGCTGACACACAATTCATTATCTGTTAACCACATACATTGTTGCAAGTTATAAATAATATAACTCCAGCGCTTAAAGAAAGATGCTATAATAATATCCAGTGCGGTTTCTCTTCGTCAGTCTTGCCTACGATATCACCCTTGGTAAAATTGGGCGTAAAACGCCGCGAACTAACGGACGAACCTTTGTCAGTGGGTGGGTGGATAAAGGACCTAGGAAGGAACAGTGTCTAGTCTGATCGAAAAACCTAGGTCCCGCGACAAGAACCCCTGACGGTGAGACAAATAGAGACAGTCCGTACATTCCCTTGTTTTTATTCATTCTATACTTAATAAAAACATAGTAATGTACGGACTTTTCAACAAACACCATGATGTAATAAAGACGGGTGGACATACATCATCAAGCGTGCTATGAGGGAAATCTTGCCCGGACTGTGACGTTTTCGCCTACTCTTTGTAGAAATCCAACTGACAAGGGTTCTTTTTCGTACACACCAATGTGCACACCGGACTCGATTTTTCGTCCCACCTGAAGGACTAGACCAGAATCTCCTGGTTGGCGAGCCAGCGTCTCACTCACACATACAGTGAAGGTATGTTTGCTATAATAATGTGGTTTATGTAATTGCGTGTATGCTGTACCCTGTGGGTGTTTTCGAACAAAAAATTTTATCTTTGGGCCTATCTTTACTATCTCATATATGCTTTGGTTAAAATCTCTGATAAGAGACCAGATTATTTTGTCTATAATTTTTTTTAAAGATACATTATGGGAGATTGTAATAGAGAGTTGGCCATTCTTGCTATAACAGTTCAAAAATAGATGACGAAAGAAGAATATATTGAAAATTTCAGTCAAATTACTTTATTCTGAACAAAGTTATCACTATTGTAATTTTTGACTAGAAATAGGAGTCAACTCTATCTTCACCGTCCCCGAGAATGGCCGATCGTTTGATTGACAGGCATTATTATACATAATCTCGATTATCAAGTAACGTTTTCAATGGCTGTGGTATCGTTAGCCTATTCGGTTTGAGGCGGGGTTGCAGTTCAATTCGTATCACATTTATTTTTACTACAAATTAAAAATAAGACTTTTAATATATAGATAAGAAGCAAAAGTTTGAAAGGAATGGACCAAATCAATGGGGCAGCATTGTATATAATTATAGCCGACTTCTTGTTAGCCTGCGTGTACTCTTGTACTGTAACTGGTAGGCCTACGTGACTCCCGAAGCAGACAAATAGGAAACAGTGATCCAATGGGACTGCAATTCAACTGGGGTGATGTTAGCTGCGATGTTTATCAATTTCCATAATTTTTCTGAAAACGCAAGAGACAAAAGAGCGTATAATACCAACATCCAAACTCGCATTTTAACCACAACTAAACATAATATCAAGGCCGTATATATCGAACTTTCAATCAAATTGACTGACATGCGGTCTCGCTCAACAGCGCCCTCGCTTCGTACGCTCTATCATTTAGCCTCGATCATCGCTGCCTTTTAAGGAAAATTTCCGGGAGTATGACGTCAACGTAACGGTTAATCTCCGCTTACGACGCCATTTAAAAATTTATTCAATCAATGAAATCCTGTTTAAATCCAAGCCGAATCCAAGCCATCTACAATTTCCATGACATCTGAAGCCTAAATAAAGACTTAAAATATGCTGATTTAGCTCTTGCATAATGCATATTTAATCAATGATTATCCAGACAGGCAATGCTATGGTAAAGTGATCAAACATTTACATTTGTTCTATTTTAGATTATCCAGACAGGCAATGCTATGGTAAAGTGATCAAACATTTGTTCTATTTTAATGTAGTTTTTGGCGTATTTAAAGCCGTTAATCGTCATTTGAGAGATTTGGAAACCCTGAAGAAACTAAAATATTGTGATGAAAGCGGAATCCCTAACAGAAATATCAGTCCAAACACGGCCGTTTTTACCAAATCTCTCTCTCTCTCTCTCTCTCTCTCTCTCTCATTAAATGACAAAAGCAGAAAAGGCAGTATCAACAGCATTATATATAGTCTAACTTATCGCATGTTACATGTGTATTTGTTGTATTGTATTAATGTCATTTTTGTAATTGTATGCTGCTCCTCGTGGGCGTTTTTATGCAATACATTTACTTACTTATCACCGTCTATTATATAGGCCTAACACAGCTAAATAGATTCCGTTATCCACGTGAAGTCATATTCACAGATAACAGTAAATATTTGAATAGCTATCCTAGTAGAAATATGATTATATATGTATATTCACTAGTTCAACAGTAATGTCGAAATATGTTTATATCCTCAGGGGGCATAAATATTTGAAAAGTAATGTCGAAATATGATAATATTAACAGTATAATCAGTCTTGATGATCTTGAGATAAGATACAAAATGATGAATGCACTATGGAATTACAAACATAAGTTAAGATAAACTTCTGAGACGGTTCATTGCATACTACTGCCTATCATGCATCTACATGTACTTTAGATAATTGGGTGTGGTGTTGTGGTTTTGGTCCCATGCTAGGCTTCTCCGATTACCTCCCACGCAAGTAATGAAGATTTACCGTGTTAGTCCCGAAATAAAATAGTTTAAGTTGAGTGCACATAAAAGAACCCTTGGCAGATGGATTTATATATAAGAGTAGGCGGTAGCATCGCTATCCTGGAAAAATCCCTTTCATATATACCACACCTTGGTTTTAATTATCCCGGTTGGTGCAGACAAGTAGGACGTTACGCCGCCCCCCCCCCCGCCCCTCTCGCATAAAATGCGTTAATTCAGTGACAGACGTAGGGACTACATATAGAAGATCCATGCGAGCTGTAAATAAATTCTAATAATGCCATTGTAACATGGATAGAAGTGAAGTAGTACACCCCTTAAGACCTTTATATTGTTCTATAATACCCCCCCCCCCCATCTCTCTCTCTCTCTCTCTCTCTCTCTCGTGCCCCTTTAACAAGAGCATTAATTCTATACCCTTGATATAACTTAGAAATCGTTCTAGTAGTAGTTGGGCCGGCTATTTGTAAAATGTATTGTCACTTAGAGCAGGGTCAACCGCAGGGTCAACTGTCAACTATAGCGAGATAGACAGTTACAATAAATATAGCGATATAGAAGGTTACAATAAAACGATATCGATATCAGACCACAATAATTATGACTTAGCAAAAACAAAACCCGAAGTTTAGTCAGTGTAACAGAATCCTATTTTGAGTGGAATTTATTAACCAACCTAAATCAAGCTTGTATAACATCCTACCTACACACGTGGCTTAATGATTGATTAAAAACTCATGTCCTCGTCAAGTCAACACTCACGGGGATTGGACTAGACCCACTGTGAATGAAGTCATTCAGTTAGTTACCTAAGGCGAGGAACTTGACAGATTGCGAAGAGTCACAGTATACAGTGTACACTGTTTAGCCACTAAAGTAACTCGTAGATCGGCAAGGATAGTCGGTTTTAACGTCAAACATATAACTAGTGTAATAATGGTGTGTAATTCGTTGACTTTTGTTGTGACAGTTTTAGCTTCAGGTAAGCCGAATGTTATATAAGATTCTTAAATAATTATCTAGTCCTACTGAAAGTGATTAAACATTGCAGGCTTATTTGCAACATATATAGCTAGTTAAAACGAATTTCATTGTATGAGGTCCCATTATGTTTTACGGTATCTAGTTTTTATTGAACGTAAAATGAATATTTCTAGTAGCTGACACAATTTATTATCTGTTAAAGGGACAATAACACTCTTGCTGACTTGAAAGCCCCAGAAAATAAATAATATCTCTATCTAAGTACTAGATGTTGAAGTGTCCTACCTGTTGTGTAAATTATCCATTTCATCCTATTTTACTTGTCCAGAGGGTTCGAAAATATGTTTAAATCGAAGTTTTATTTGAAAAGGTTTACGTTAGACGTTTTAAACCATTATGTTGAATTTTTCAAAATTTTTAAATAAGGTGTGTTAAGATGAAATTTGTATCATCAATTAATTGAAATATTCTAAAATAGTACAATTTGTTGACCAGAATAAAGATTGGGATATATTATTCAGTTACAACAAGAGTTATAAATAATATAACTCCAGCGCGTAAAAAAAGAAGTCTATACCTGTCAGATGCTATAATAATATCCAGTGCGGTTATCCTTTGTATGTTTTATCTACGATAGCACCCTTGTGGAAGTGGGCGTAAAAATTCAGGAACGAAAGAACGGATCTTTGTTAGTGAGTGTGTGGGGGGGGGGGAATAAAGGGCATGGGAAGGAACCGTGTCTAGTCTGATCGAAAACTGAGGTCCCGCGATACGAACCCTTGACGGTTAGGTTTATAAATAAGAGTATAGACCGTTCCGCCGGTGTTCGGGCAAAATGTCCATCATTGCACAATGCATGGGGTATAACCGTCTTCATTATCTCGGCTGGTGCTAAAAAGTAGGACGTTAAACCTCATTCATTTTATGTCGTATAATATAAACAAACCCATATAAAATATTTAGTCAGTTTAATAACATTAGAAAATTATTTCCATGCTCTACTATAGAGGAAACAATAATGTTTGAACGTAATGACATCTATTTAATAATATAATCGAGTCATTGTTATCAGTTTATGAATGACACAATCTCTGCCATTTCAACAATTTATATCTCTATGTTGTTATGTGTTATACATGCACTACATACTGTGCATAATCGATATTTAAAGGATATAGTTTTTACCTCACTAATTACCTTTAGGCTGTATATACGTGTCTCTATGCTCTTTTTTATTATATATTGTCTGGTTGGACATGGTGTATGCTACTATGCATATATATATACGGATAGAAGGTCAGACTCCTGTGCTCTATGTGACGGGAATGAGATATAGTAGTTTGAGTCAGCGTGGTACCCATTATACACTATGACACAATGATGAAATAACATGAAATGGGGTTTAACGTCCTACTTTACTGCACCAACCAGCGTAGTTAGTAAAGGCATTCGTAGGGTGATTTTGCCCTGGCAGCGGCATTTCCACATACTATTCCTCGAATTCCAACTGCAGTGCTACGTTTGATTAGACCTAGACCAACGAGAGGGATTTCTCGGGACATCGCTAAAAGGGCTACATTTATAATACAACCTATATACTATATATTATGTAAAATGTGTTATCTATATACATGTAAGTTCTCGTTTTATAATGTCAATATACACGTTAAACATAGCTTGGCCAAACAGGCTATCTTTAAGTGGTTGTCTAGGTTATTTCAGTGCATATAAGAACCACTAAAGAGAATATATATAGAACTATTACAAGTCATGTAACATTCATACTGTGTGGCCGATACTGTGTACATAACGTAAGAAATGAATGAGAAATATGCTATTGAGTTGATTAATATAAACAGTTGGAGACTAGTAAATCGTGTTAGTGAATATACAAATAAAATTTATTCAGTTGTGTGTGTGTGTGTGTGTATGTGAGGGAGAGAGATGGATTTAACGTCCACTCAACACAGAGAGAGGGGGTAATTGCCCCCACCCACCCGCACAACGAAATAAAGGAACCCCGTTCCCACTCGAGTCCCAGTACCAGCACTACCGCACTACAATTTCACTTCAAATATGCATATACATGGTGGCGTGAAATCGACAAGAATTATTTTAAGGATTTTTTTTTTTTTTTTTTTTTTTAAATAGATATTTTGTATGGTCTCCAACTCCCTGGATGTCATGGGCGGCTGGGGGGGGGGGGTAAGATCAGATTTTATTGTGCATGATTTTAATCTTCATAAAGCTAACTTTATTAGTAAGGGTCCGATAAGTTTTCATCAATATGGACAGATGTCGCTTCTGAGGACCCTCCGGCGATATGAGCCCCGAGGCTTTAGCTTTATTTTATATCAGATCCGCCTCGTCCTTGATTAAGAAATAATGATGAGTCGGCTTGGATAATGTTTCATTGGAAACAAAAAGCTGCTTTATTTGTGAGGATTATATAAAGTGATAATTTAACTTATATAATTTACATCATTATCATATATAGATAAAACGGTATATTGTCATATATTACGTGCCATAGCATACGAAACTGACTTATAGCACATTGTGTTACGTGTAATTAATCTCTAAACCAGCTGTTTTTATAATTTAACAAATACCGTGATTAAAACTAGTAAAATCTCGCTGGTGTAATCGGATTTAGAGCGTATCACCTAGCATTCTGAACATCAATCACGCTAGATGCGGAGAAGGAAAAAAAGCTAGCCCATCATTTAGTTTTTGAACGTTAGTTACGTACGATCGCGTAAGGGTCCTACCGAGGAGAGAGGAGAGCGTTTCTTTTGCCAAGTTTTTCATTTAAATTTTGGATGTAATGTGTAGAATATGCATATCTGTAACATATCTTTCATTGTTGGTCACTTTTTGCAAAACCTTGGGCGTTAATGATAAAAAAACACGTTGGTGATCGATACCTTATAACAGATTTTTCAGACTGCTCCCCCCACCACCCACTCCCCTTGGCAAACAAAAGCTTCTAATTGATGGTCTGTTTTTGTGGGATGGGTGGGGCGACAAATCAGGTCACTTAAGACATTTGACAATCTTTCTGTTTTACTGTAATTTCCAATCACTTATGTTCGACGAAATATATGAAGAGTCCGAATTGAATGGCAGTCTTTGGCGCCTGGTTATTCCAGTCTACACCGATAGTCGCTTCATTACAAATTGCGCCCGAAAGCATTCTGGCAAGCGATTCGTGTGCCAATTTTAAAATTTCATGTTGTCTTAAATATTGGATATAAGAAGCCCATCTTTTCACGGTAAGATAACAACATCAATGTTGATTTAAATTGACCAATAAGTCGTGTTTGCAATGTCGAGGGCCGTGGATAATATTGAGTTACAGACTTGACTCCTTTGAACCCACCTACTAAATAGATTGGTGTCATAAAGCAGAGTTGTCTCAATGCTGGATAATGCGACTTGCATGGCAGAATAGATTCATATAGAAATGAAATGAAATGGGGTTTAACGTCCTACTGTTCTGCTCCAAACTGAGCTAATGAAGACGGGCATACGCCATACAGTGTGCTATGAGGGAAAATTTGCCCGGACAGCGGCACTACGGCCTACTCTTATATCGAATTCCAACTGTCAAATGATCTTTTACGTACATGCCAATGTGTACACGGGTCTTCGGATTTTCGTCCCATCCGAACGTCTAGACAGCTGTCCTTGTCAGGCCCTCATGGATCGAACACCCGACCTCCATGCTAGCGAGCCAGCGTCTCACCCACTTGGCCACCGTGATTCCCCAACGTTGATATAGAACATAAAATATTTTTATGTTAGTTATCTGTGCCTGTGGGAGGGTCACTACACGTCCTTACATGTCTTAATTATTTAACGTTTTATCATCTGTAGAGGATGTCAAATACCCTGTAGAGAGAGAGAGAGATGGGGTTTAACGTCCACTCGATACAAACTAGGTCACTTCGGGAGGTAACCGGGAACCCGGAGAAAACTCACAAACGTTGGTCCGGCGACCCTACTCCTTGCCACGTACAACCGGGGAATCAAAACCACGCCTGTTGACTCAATGATAGACCTTATGATATTGTCCCCCCTCCCACACACACACACACACACACTGCGTGTAACTAATAAACGATCAATCGAACCATTTTTGAACCGACTTTTCCTGTAATAATTCAATTTTTACAATATTTAGCAAAGAACATTCTGCACACAGAGAAAATTATCTACGTCGAGAATAGATCTCTGTGTTGAATGGTCGCCATATCCAAAATATGTAATACTAATCTGTAATACGGTTCTAATCCGTTTCATATATTGTCAAGCACACCAAGATTAAATAAACCTTTTCAAATTTTATTAAATGGATGCGGAATAAATAATTCTCAAATAATTGTCAGCTTTGAACGACTTATGTTTTTAGGGTTGCTGAAGAAAATTTCTTACTGACCTGCTTCAAGGCCTCGCAACATCGTTGGCAAAAGTGTGTACGCCTCGAAGGAGATTATGTAGAAAATAAAAGGAAACCATCGACTTCGTACAGATCTTTCAAAGATAGGCTTAGAACTTTTCAGCTAGCCCGCGTATACTAAGTGTTATCGTCTAAAATCGTCGATGTAGGAAATAAAATGTCCCCAAATTACGATCAGCGGTTTTAATGAAAAAGAGCTTTTTAAAAGTTGTCAGGAAAGAACGAAGCGGAAATGGTTGAGAAATGAAAACAAAATGAGGGTTAATGTCTTGCTGTTCTGCGCCAACAAAATGATTAAGAACTCCTCTCCTTAACACACCTGCTAAATTGATTAATACGAGACTTAAATGGAGGCAGCAATGCAGAATAAAAACATCCTAATCGTTATATTACTGTGCCTTGGGAAGTGCCTTTAATCTTTTTCAATATTTTACAATGAATGTCAAATGTATAGTGTTCACGTTTGTTATTATGTGTACAATTGAGAACAGTATTATGCAAATATTTACACCACCCCTTAAACATATATTTATATA